TGATGAAACGAGTGTAACAAAAACAAAGAAAACAAAGCAACATATACTGGCACAAAGAAACGTGGACACACATGGACGCATGCTACTTCTCTTAGCTACATTTAGTGTACAGAAATGTAAATATAGGGGAAATAAGCCTTTGTTTTAGTTTTTTTATTTTAAAGACAGAAGTTCCCAAACTCATTAAAAAAAACGATTATTGAAAAATACGATGCCTGTAAAATGTGTTACTAATTGTAATCATTTGAATGTTTTTATTTAACTTTATTTATATAATTGTATTTATAATTATTATTAATGTATTTTGTTTATTCTATTGTACTTCCTAGCTTGCAATTTTTTTTTCGAATCAACAATAAACATAAACAACATATTAGTTACATTACATTCTGTTTGTCACAGAACGGAAATTTGTCTTTGACGCTGGTGACATGAATACATCCACATTAATAGCCTTCTTAAAAACACATCACACATTAACAACACAAACATCAAATTCAACTAATTTAAAACAATTAAGACTACCCCCATCATTCCTTAATTGAATATAATTATGGCTTAAAAAAAATTATGGCTATGGAGGAAATATAAAAAATTTATTTGATATTTAAAATATAAAAAATATATAATTATGGCTTTTACCACGTAGTATTACAGCTATTGTTCTTAACACATAAACAACATATAGTAACTTTTATTATATTTAATAAATAAAAACAAGAATTGCATATGTAACCCCCATTTTTATATTATAGACTTTATCGGACATTATATTTTATTTTATCCAGATGTCAGCCCGTTTACAATCATACCCGCTGCCCTTATTAAAAAAATTTACAATTCTATAAATAAAAACATCAGGTTCAAATTATTGTCAGATTTTTATTTTGTCGTCTTGTGCATGATGGAACGATTAATTTCTTTACGAAGTGCATTAATTTTTGGGGGGGAAACTTGAATATTATTAAATTTTGTATAGGTATATTTAAATAAATAAACACTGTGCGAATAAATGATGTTTTATTAACCTCCTGAGAACCAGAAATAAAAAGCTTTGTGAATTTAGTATTTTTTCATGTCATTACATTGTTTAGAGCATAAGAAAAAAAATGGTAAAATACAATTTTTAAAAATTATATTTTATTCATAAGTTATGCTATGTCCTCTGTAGAGGACACCAGGACTCAGTTTTTCTAAAAAAATAAAATGACAAGAGTAGACATGAAAAGGCAAAAACAATGGGCATTTTTTTTAAATCGCCAATCAATTTTTAGGTTTCAGGATTTTTTTATAACTAACTTTGTTTAAGGATGGTTCTCAACTATGTGATAAAATATATAACAAAACTATTTGATATACCATTTTGCTTTATGCGATATGTGTGTAAAAATTCCATAAACTGGTTTTCCCATTAAGCACAATGTTATCTATACACTGTATCTAATTTGCATATTAAAGTGCTGTTGGGACAGCATGTTGAAAAAAGAAGTGTAATGATGGGAGTAGTAATTGACCAGATTTTCATAATAATATCTTTTATATGTTTTCCTATTCAATTCTTTTGTCTCCCAAAATGTATAATAAACATGCTTTTAGTCCTGGTGTCCTCTACAGTGGACATGTATGAAATGATGTCCTGTTTCATAACAGGAAGTCATATTTTGATTTGAAACCCCATAACATTTTCCTGAGATGTTGATTTATGACAAACAATTTGAAAATGAATCAGATTTCAATTATAATTACAAAATATTATCCTATTTCCATAAGGATGTACAATTGTATCACTAAATTGATGTCAGCCATTTTTAAAAACCAAGGAGAGGGAGTGGTGATGGTGAAACATCCAATCATTTGGTATCTCTGGAAAGCCCTGAATGCGCTCTGTACAGGACACCCAGACTTAAAACTGACATGTGAGGTCTCAGAGAAATGCACTAAAATATAATGTCCACTACAGAGGCAAAAACTCCATAGCTTAGTCTCAGGAGGATAAATATATATATATATATATATATATATAGTAGTTATATATAGCAATGTAATGTACCATATTAATTGAACAACCACATGGCTGACAGCACGTGCTGGAGCTGTTTTGAAAGCATTTGCACTGAATGCATACTTCATAATGTGACTGATACTGGTTGATATCTGATTTACTTTCCTCTGAGTGGATTGTTTTGTGTTGTTGTAGCCTACGTATGCATTCTGAGATGCATACAAGCAATGCAACTTTGTAAACATGTGACATTCCACACTGCATGTGTAGTATTGTGCATCTTAAATGCATGTCATTAAACGTGCACCAAGTAGGAAGAGAAGGCAGTCTGTGCGTGAGGGAACATCATGTTCCAGCACCCATCATGCATTAACCCCTTCACTCCCATATAGGCCAGTTTAGGTGTTCACCTCTGCTGATCTACTTTGATGATTGTATGCAATTTTCAAAGCACGAGTCACTTTTTCCAATGGCTTTCTAGTAGAAAACTTTCATTTTCATGTCATTTGTAGGCCTGTTGTAAAAATCAGATTAGATTAAACTGTACTGTCATTGAGCAGAATACAAGTACTAATGCAGACATTTGCAGTTTTAGCTCATTGGGTGTTTTAGACATTTAGACATTTTCATTAGTTGTATTGCTTTTAAAGGCCTGGAAATCCACATGTGTCCTGATATTTGCATGCACATGTGAACCCTGAATATATTTTTGACATTAATTATTTAAACATCCTGCACTCTGACATGCTGTACTCAATCTAAAATGCATTTGAATGGGCTTTTTGAATATGTTTATAATTTTTGAAATGGCGTGTGGTGACGTGTGAGGGCTGTATTTGTGGTTGTGCTCAGCAGTAGCAGGATCTATTTTGTGCTGACTGCTGTTATGTAAGTGTCACCATTTAGTGGCCTCGTCCACAATGGAAATAATCCTCACATTACAGGCTTGTTTAGAAATGATTTCAATTTAAATCATTTTGCTGATGCATTTTGAGTCAACTTCTACAAATATATTTTTTTATGTGTTTGGGAATTATTGACATATGGTTGTCTGACTAGGCCAGATTTTTGTGTTTGTGTGATCAGTAGTTCAGTTTGGCTAATAAACACATTTACGGAGCTTAATTTATAACAAGAATCCCCCCCCCCCCAAAAAAAATTTTTTTTCAGCCAGATCCCTTTCACCTAAAATATTTATTCTAGATCACTGTGTGCAATTTTCACAATTTTAGTCACTTTTCCATTATTATTCTAGTAGATTTATTAATATACTGTCAGAGTTGATGTACTTTTGCACACATCTACAGGATAAAGATTAATTTTTAAATCATTGCAATCACCAAAAAAAGGAACAATTTCTGCCTCATTAAATGTTTTAGGGTGGTGCATTGACTCTCCAAGTTTTAAAAAAATATATTTATTACAGGACATTTACACATTTACGGCTCGCACCAAGGGATTCCCAAACTTAAATATTTACTTAAAGTAACTCCTGAAATTTTAAGTTAATATTTCAATAATTTTACACATTCAGATGTTCACGGTACCGGATAAAGATTCATTTTTAATTTTTATTTTGAAAACAAATAATAATAATTAAGTCATTGCAAATGCAATCACAAAAACCAATTTTTAGCTCATTAAATGTTTTAGAGTGGTGCATAACTTAAAAAAAAAATTCTGTGTTTTTCCATGATTTTTCGAGTCCTGGAAATTTTTACATTGTTAAAATTCCCCAATATTTCAATGGTCATGGGAACCGTGAATATAGTTTTAACATTAAGTGTTGAATTATTTTAAAGATTTTATTTTTAAGATTTTATATTTATTACAGAACAAACAGATCCAAGTATTTAATAATTCTTAATTGTTTTATTTTGATTGCTTGTATTTGTTTATTAGTCATTCATTCATTCATTCATTTAGCTTTCTCCAACTTACAAACCCTGCAGTTCTCTGGGGCTTTTTGTCAATTGCAATTTTTCCAGTGGATTTGTCATTTTTGTTTCAAATGTAAATGGCTGCAAATGTCGTGATGTTTAATAATCTCAGTTTGGGAGATACAGCTTCATGACCTACGTTTGTTATTTTAGGATTATGGGAGACAGTCATTCCCAAGTGTTTAGCAGTTCTTACAGCATTTGTATGGTCACAGTCCACCTGTTCTCCATGCATTTCCCAACCCTTGTTTCCTGAAGTTAAGCTGTGTTATTTATCACAGAATGCTGGCAGATTAGCGCTTAAGCTCATACAGTGTTCTTTGGATGGCCTCCAAACGTGCTGCTCAGTGGAAATCTGCTCCGCTAAAGTCTGATTGGTATTTTGCTAGCCTGTCTGAGTCAGCTAAACCAACACTTTAGTTCTAAGGCTTGGAATATGAAGAGTAAAGCCGCTGTAGTTTGAACAGGACTGGCTTTAATCAAACACAACCATGAAAAGAGACCGAAACAGCGGCTTATCAGTTAGAGACCAGCGACGTTCAATAAAGAGCCATTTCTCCTGACTCGGCACAAATAACTCAGTGAAGCACATGAGTAGATTATGGAGCTGCTTTGGCTTGCCTACAGTGGTTTACAGTTACCTCAAATGCTAGTTCGATCTTCTTTTAAATGATTAATCAGCGTATGTTATTACAAAGAAAACATTGTCTTTGTAATCTTTGCTCCAACTCTGAAACTGCTTTCCATTCTGACTGACATAATAATACATAATTTGACTGATAATGATCAGAAATGTTTCTTGAGCAGCAGATCAGCATATTAGAATGATCACGTGACACTGAAGACTGGAGTAATGATGCTGAAAATTCATCTTTGCATCACAGAAATAAATTACATTTTACAATATATTCAAATAAGAAAACAGTGATTTAAAATTTTAATAATATTTCACAATATTACTGATTTTGCTGTATTTTTAAGTAAATAAATGCAGCCTTGGTTAGCACAAGAGTCTTCTTTCAAAAATGCATGCTAACCGCATTCTACTATCTTTCCAGGTGAGCGTATCTTGGGCTACCCAGAGGAACCGTGCTATCTTTGGTTTGTTATGGAGTTCTGCGACGGCGGCGACCTCAACCAGTATATCCTCTCCCGGCGGCCTGACCCGCGGACCAACCGTATTTTCATGAAGCAGATGACCAGCGCTGTGGCCTTCCTCCATAAGAACAACATCGTCCACCGAGACCTCAAACCAGACAACATTCTCATCTCACAGAAATCCGGCAGTCCGGTGATCAAGGTCTCCGACTTCGGCCTCAGCAAGGTTTGCGCGGGGCTCAGCTGCATGGAGAGCGAAGGAGACAACCAGGTTAACAAAAACATGGTGAACATTAACAAATTCTGGTTGTCGTCAGCATGCGGCTCTGACTTCTACATGGCGCCGGAGGTGTGGGAGGGCCACTACACCGCCAAGGCGGACATTTTTGCACTCGGTATCATCATTTGGGCCATGATCGAACGGATCACGTTCATCGACGCCGAGTCCAAGCGAGAGCTCCTCGGCACATATGTTCGCCAGGGGACCGAGATCATTCCGGTGGGCGAGGCCTTGCTGGAGAACCCGAAGATGGTCCTGAACATCCCACAGAAGACCCGGAGCATCATGTCTGAAGGCATCAAGCTGCTTCTGCAGGACATGTTGGCGGTCAACCCGCAGGACCGACCTGACGCGTCTCAGTTGGAGGTTAGAATGGACCAAGTCACATGTGTGGGGTAAGCCAACCCGATTGGCCGAAGCAAGCACGTAACTTTTTCAGGTGGGTTGCAGTTTTTTGGTGTCGTTTTAGATGTTGCATTCACCGTTTTTGTTCACCTCAGATAAAAATATTCAAGAGCAAAAGAGTGCAGTTTAAATCCCATAATGCACCAAAACAAGACCTGTTGGGTTGTTAAAAATGTTTTAAAGGGGTCATAATGATGCGATTAAAATTTTTCCTTTCTCTTTGGAGTGTTACAAGCTCTTGGTGCATAAAGAAGATCTGTAAAGTTGCAAAGACTAAAGTCTCAAATCCAAAGAGATATTCTTTATAAAAGTTAAGAGTCAACCACGCCTACCTAAAACGGCTCGTTCTAACATGCCCCCACATGTCTACGTCACTATGTGGGAAGATTTGCATAACTCCGCCCAAATGGTCACGCAAAGAAAGAAGGCGTAACTTTTATTCTTGCTGTAGTATTGTTGTTGCCACTGCCACCATGCTGTGGAGACGCTGTGTGTTTCGTTGCGAAAGCGAAACTACTTTGTTTGGTTTTCCAAAAGAGGACACGACTAGAAATCAGTGGTTAAGTTGTATTTACAACACTGTTCCAGAACAGTTCAACCCAAATATTCAGATGTGTGCAGCGCATTTTATGGAGGACCGTTTCCTGATCCTGAGAGAGTAGACTACAATGCTGGCTGTTCTGACTCACAGACTGTAAGTATGTTTTCATATTTCAAGAATTAGCCACTGATGATTCAAACGCGCGTTTTGAGCAGTGTAGAGTAGCGCTTGTAGTTTGTCATTTCTCCGATCACAAATGCAGACATGGTTTTATGTTTACGCAGCGCGATGCAACACAACGCGTAAAAAGACAGTATAAATCATTATAATCCATAATTATGTCCCCACTGGATGCAACAAATGCCTATATGGGTTTTATTGTTTTTGTCTCGTTGCTCTGGGACACAGCATCACAATATAGTAAAGGGCGTAACATTTCCGTCACAAGCTTGAAGTATTCAGCCAATCACAACGCACTGGGTAGCTGGCCAATCAGAGCACACCTCGCTTTTCAGACCGATGAGCTTTGTAAAAATCGAATCGGCAGCCTTTACAGTATGTAAGTGATAGTTAGGTAAATTTACTTATGTGTTGAAGTACTCTAAGGTACCAAATTGATTTTAATCCAAGCTAAGCCGATCTTGAGTTTGCTTATTCATGAATTTCTCATCTGTCCTGCTGCTTTGTATTTCTCTAATCAAACCCGCGTATTTGGCCTCAGGGGCTGCATGTACCCTGCGAGACTACTGTGCCCTACCCATCACACAACTCGCAGGCCTGTTTGCTTTTCTGACGCCACACCCTGAGCTCCATGACTGATCTGATTAACAAGATCCGACACCGTTTTAGCAGCAGAATGCACTCAGCCAGAGGCAATAACATCAGAGTTTAATACACGACGTACTCCTAACCAGGTGCTTCATGTTACATCAGATTATTGCATTCTTTTATGGATTTTTCATCGGATGAGATTCAACTCAAAAGGCCAGAGGAAATTAAATGCCTTTTAGAAGCCGTTTTATAGCACAATTTTAATCAAAACCCACTGGATTGGTGTCCCGAGGCGAGAACATTCATAAACAATGACTCAATGATGTATATATAACAATGATGACGACTTATTTGGCATCAGATCGGTTTAGGGTCGTGTGCATGCACGTGTACTCCTTTCAGCGAGCATATAGAGAAGTTATGCAACACACCAGGGCCCAAACCCTCCTTCTTCTCCCAGACGACCTGAATGGAAGCAGCCATCCGTCAAAGCAAGCAGGCTGGGAGTGAGCCGCAAGTCTGGCTTGTGTTTTAGGGGGGTAAAAGGGGGTATTTTTGCTTATTGACACCCCGAGTTCTTTCCGTTCTCTTAGACTTTTAGACTAGGACAAGGCGATTATTTCAGCTGGGCACAGAAGCCCCCCCGTCCGCCCTCCCTAACCCCATACGCCCCTGTTCAGCAGCCTGTGAGACACTGAGGTGTCTTTGGTCTCACGTTCAGAACATTTTGTTCTTTGCCTGCCAGCCTGCATGCGTCTCAGTTGCTATATAGTGCATATACTGTGTGTAGTGCTGGGTACGTTACTCACATCAGAGGATCACAAATGCGCTGAATCCAAATTTTAAATATAGCTGTAATGATATTGCTTCTCCTTTTTTAAATTAAAAAATGCACATTTTCAGTAATTCACACCTCGAGAATGAAAAATACACGTTATAAGTAAGAGTATGCAAATTATATTCTTTCTTGTCAATGATAATGTTTTAGAATTGTATATATTTTATTTTATTCATTTTTAACTTTAATTTGTACTATTGTTTATATTTGTTTGTGTATTTATTTTGAGTGTTATTTTCAATACTTTCATTTGTAGTATTTTTACATACTATTTAATAGCTTTTTTTTAATTCACACTTTCAGTAATTCACACTACAATAATGTAATTTATATGTAATGTGTAGTGATGTTTTGTAATTTTATATAATTATTTTATTTATGTATTTATTTGTAATTGTATTATCTTTATTATTTTATTTCTTTATTGTATTTTATGTGATGTTATTATTCTTGATACTTTTTATTTTAAATATTTTATTTATAATGTTTTATAATATTTCATACATTTTAATTTACTTATTTAATATTTCATTTGTTTAGTGCTGTTTAATGTTTTTATTTTATTTATTTATTGTATTTAATTTATTGTTGTTATTTAATTTCATTATGTAAATGCAATTTATTTACATTTAAATGTATTATTTTTAATACCACATGTATTTGCTAGGTTTGTTATTTGTATTGTAAGATAACAATTTTGCTGAATCAGTTATATTTGAATCATAGCTATCTCTCTTTAATTTATTCAAATGTAGGGCTGTCAATCGATTAAACACTTTAATCAATTAAATAATATGCTGAATAATCGCTTTAATCAAAATTAATTGTCTATATATCAATATTTACTAAGAAAAGCTTAAAATGAAGCTAATTCAAATACATTATTGTGGCACGAAAATCATTGAATAGACAAAGTGGTTTTATACAGCAAATCAGTATATTGTAATTAAAGTCCACAAGTTATCTTTGTTACTTGTTATACTTATTACACAGTAACACAAACCCGTCTAATGGTGTGATTCTCGTCATTAGTGCGTGGGTCATTGAGTTCACAGCAGCTGAGATATACAGTACAGTGTGTTCCACGTGCTGCCTGTGGGCACGTGTCTGTTCAACACTGCAGCTTCTGTGCTGGCATACACCAAACTAAATGTAAGAAATGCATTAGAATGCACCAATATTAGTCAGATTTTTCACATCGTTTGTAAGTTAACACAGCATTTGTCTCTTTTCGGATCACATAGCTTTCACAAAACTACCATTGTTTATGTGCGTTGTGGAGATTCGGGCTCCTTCGGGAAAGCTGGGGCTGGTTTTGGCATGTTTTCCAGGATTGTTGGTTGGGGAGGTGTTGCCGGAGCAAGTGTTTATAGGCTGTTATGTAAGCAGGAATAACATTTAGCTGATAATTGGGCTAAAAACATGCTTTTTCCAGTTATTTAGCACATTTTTCCAATCAGAGGCTGCTTTTTTTGATTGTTAAGCTTAAACTGTTTCTGAAAAGTTGTTTTTAATCTATCAGATGAAGTTCATGTATACAATTTTGTAGTAAAGAAAAAAAAACCTGTGCGCACTTAAATTATAAGTAGGGATGCACGATATATCGGCCACCATATCGGTATCGGCCCATATCGGCTCATTTTTTCTGTTATCGGTATCGGCCAGATAAGAAAATTTGGCTGATATCTTAAAGCCGATAAATAATGCATTATTTCCTTCAGAGACACTTCAGATGCGCGCTGTTCGTTTGCAGCCTTTTGTGCAATTGTACATTGTAATATTGTGTTTATTTGATGTATATCTGATTTATCTCATATAGAATGCGTTTGGTTAAGTTAAAAGAGCGCTTCAGTTTACCAGTGATAAACTCAAACAGCAGTGCACAACATTAATAACTATGATTGGGAATGTCGTGTATATAACATTCTAATGAGAACATTATTATAATAAAACGTTGTGAATTCTTTGGGTTTAGTTGCCATGTTTCAGCGCGTTGTTATGGGAAGAGCGCATCCACAACAGGATCACACATTCTGACTATAGCATGCAATAACTGCATCATTTTGTACATATATAAGTTGTAATATTATGTTTATGTGGTATTAATATTAATCTCAGGATGCATTTCCTTGAGTTAAATAAGCTGCCATCTTTAATTTATTCAAATGTAGCGCTGTTAATCGATTAAACACTTTAATCAATTAAATAATATGCTGAATAATCGCTTTAATCAAAATTAATTGTCTATATATCAATATTTACTAAGAAAAGCTTAAAATGAAGCTAATTCAAATACATTATTGTGGCACGAAAATCATTGAATAGACAAAGTGGTTTTATACAGCAAATCAGTATATTGTAATTAAAGTCCACAAGTTATCTTTGTTACTTGTTATAATTATTACACAGTAACACAAACCCGTCCAATGGTGTGATTCTCGTCATTAGTGCGTGGGTCATTGAGTTCACAGCAGCTGGGATATACAGTACAGTGTGTTCCTCGTGCTGCCTGTGGGCACGTGTCTGTTCAACACTGCAGCTTCTGTGCTGGCATACACCAAACTAAATGTAAGAAATGCATTAGAATGCACCAATATTAGTCAGATTTTTCACATCGTTTGTAAGTTAACACAGCATTTGTCTCTTTTCGGATCACATAGCTTGCACAAAACTACCATTGTTTATGTGCGTTGTGGAGATTCGGGCTCCTTCGGGAAAGCTGGGGCTGGTTTTGGCATGTTTTCCAGGATTGTTGGTTGGGGAGGTGTTGCCGGAGCAAGTGTTTATAGGCTGTTATGTAAGCAGGAATAACATTTAGCTGATAATTGGGCTAAAAACATGCTTTTTCCAGTTATTTAGCACATTTTTCCAATCAGAGGCTGCT